CCTCCATCTCCTTATAGGGTAACATGTGTGCTTGTCAAACAAACCCCTCCTAATCCACCCCCATCCATTTCCTTGTAGGGTCTCCCCTTCCTCGCACGCCATTTCTGGGAGACTCCCCAGCCTCATACATGTGCACAGGAACATGCATTTGCGCGTGCACGCATGCACACACACACACGCACAACCCCGACTTTCCCCTGTCATCTCCTCAGTAGCTGCATATATGGTCCGTTCAGCACCACTGCGGCATTTTATGAAAGATAAACACCCGAAAACAAAAAGGATGATGACATTATTTGTTCACATTTATTCCACATTAGAATCCACACGCCATCCCAGACAAACACACAGGCAGGTGAGCATACAAACCTGCAGACAGATATGTATTAACCCAACATGAATACGCTTCTTTCAATACATTAAACATGACCCTGAAACTAGTTTGTCCTGTTTGACGCTCAGCGAGGGCTCTGCACTAATCGCCTGGTTGTCCAGTGTGGTTTAAAAACATACGCAAGCCAGCTGTAGGACGGTGTTGTCACTGTCAACTGCACCGCCTAAAGAGTCAGGAAGGGCAACCCCTGCCTTTTTCCTTTTTTTTGTTAAAGCTGCACTGATGCCTCACGCTGAGCACTTTTAGAGCAGTTAAGGGAAGCACACAGCTGGAGGAGGAGGAGGAGGCCCGCTCAAGATTTACCCCCGTCCAGAAAGGTGTTTACATCACAAAAGGTTCCCCATCAACATTTTGCCTCATGCCTCGAACCACCTAACAATCAGCGCAAAATGAGTGACTCATCCAAGTTGCCACGGCAACACGGTTCATCGGGATCAGTTAACGACCACCATTGTTACCCCTGCAAAGAATCAATAACAAGATTTGGGAGGTGGAGGCGTGCCAGTGTGTGGGGGGGTGAATCCTCACGACCCGTTTCCAGTTTGTGCAAGCGTGGCAGGCTGCGCATAGCTTTTGCAGCAGGTAGGCGTCTCTCCCTTGCCTCAGGGCACACGCTTAGGTGGGGCTTGAGAAAATATTTCTTCTGCACCCGATCTGCTGCTCTCAACTCTCTCGCAGGAGAAAGAGACAATTTAAAAAAAATGAAAAAAATAAATAAAATTAGCAAAAGCAGCGCCATCAAGGAGCTGATAAATTACCCCCGCTGTAAACAAACTCGGAACACTCACATATGGACATAACTGCAAAGTCAGCTTTACACACTGAAATTGCGTCACTGAGCAAACTAGCCGCCTCTAGTTGACCTACAATATGTGATTTTCATGCTGCTCGCCCGTGTCTGTTCTGCTCCCTCACCTATGAGCTTCCTTGACTGCGGTGGGGAAGCGTGGGGTGTCCCATCACCCTAAATTTTTTTTTAAAAATCTTCTCCTCATGCTCCCATTCCTTCTCCCCTTCTCTCCCTCTCTCCCTTCAAACCCCATCCCCCTCTCTTCCAGGGGCTCTTAAAGGAAAACATTGAGATAACAGCTGCCAGGGCCCCGGGGAGAGCGAGAGAAGGGAGAAAAGAGGTCAAACAGTAAAGAGAGCAGGAATCCAAGGTACAGCTGAAAGAGAAGCACACACACACTCATACTGACTCACACCAATTGAAATGTAATGATATGAACATGACACTTCATGCACCAACTTTGCAGCCCACTGTGTGCTCGAGCTTGTGTGTGTGTTTGTGAAATGTGTGACACAGAAATTACAGTGAGGAGGTGTTGTTAGCTGAATAGAAGAGATGCAGAAGGGAGGACGAGAGAGAAAGAACGAGCAATAAAAAAAGGAAAAAAAAAACACAAGGGCAGGGACAACTGTTCTGTGGACACCTGTCTCTTTCGCTCACAGGCTGGAGCGATGTACAGAGACAGCTGCAGGGCCAATAAAGAAGAAAGAGTTTTCCACTTACCTCTCCTCCCCCCCTCCAATTCCCTCTCTGCTTCCACTCTCCTGCTTCAGATATATCGAAATAGTTGACTAGCAGAAATAGCGCCACTGAACCGCTACATCCAGCTGACACGCTGTACTGTATGCTCACATAAGATTCTCCTGACCATACATAATACATGGCTGAGCGCAGTTTCTGGCAGTGGCAGCCCTTGATGTTCAAACTGCGTGCACTTCTAGCTCTTGGCAGGGTTGGGGGGGGGACAGATGCCACAATAACAGCGTACAATAACACACTGCCGCTCGTGCGGCTCGGCATAACGAATCATAATTGTGGAGATACGATCTCCAGCCTGTATCTCGCTGTCATCAACGCCTGCTACACTACTTCCAGTGTTTATATCCCACTCGTAGCAAGTAGCTGCTGAGTCCTGACAAGAGCCCGAAATGCTCTCTGACTGGACCTCTAGCGATCGGGTCAAGTAGACTCCTCGTCTGTTAGTAGTTAATTAACATTTAATGCTCGATGACAGCCCGTTCTGATGCCGTTTCGCGTACGGCCGAGCCCGAGCGCCGACGAGGGGATGCAGCGGCCGTGCACGCAGGCGGAGGAGGATATGAAAAGATACGGGGATAAACACTCACCGACAGCACGTTAGGATAGTACAGTCCCATCATCGTATTCTGTGCAACAACTCAAACTGTCGTCGCTCCTCTCTCCTCTCTCTCCTTTCCTCTTCTCACGCTGCCTCGCTTTCTCTCCCTCGCCGAGCCTGTGTCACCTCACCAGCTCAGTCTCTCTTGTCTGTCTCACAGATTCAAAATCTCCCTCTCTCTGCCCCCGCTCGCTCTGTCTGCCCTGCCAATCCCCTCCCCACCTCCTCCTCCTCCTCTCCTGGCTTCTGTCCCTGTCACTCTCCCTCACTTGCTTACTTGCTTGCTTTTCTTTTCTTTCAACCCCCCCTTCCCCTCTATCTATCTCTCTCTCTCTCTCTCTCTCCCCGACTCCCACTCAGTCTTTTCTTTCCCTCTCCCACTCGCTCCTTTGCTTTCCCTCTACCCCCAGCCTTCTGTTTTGCTGCTGTGCCCTTGCCTGCTCATCTCTTCTGTCTCTTCTCCGGTCCTCCTCCTCTCCTCCTATCTCACCCAGATAGCCTAACGCCTCCCCCTTCCTACTTCTCTGCCTCTGTCACACCTGCAAACTTTCCCCTCCCCTCTGCTTTCCTCTCATGTCGCAGTCCTCCTCTCCTCTTCTCTCCTCACTCTCTCTCTCCTTCTATTCTCTTTCTCCATGTAGGTGAGTTAACTGGGGCTGCTGGCACCACTGGGAGAGAGCAATAGACGTCTTTTCTTCTCTCTCTCTCTCAGACACGCACCTTGTTACGCAAATGAGCCGGTAATTTTACACATCAGTCATTTTTTTTCTGCAAAAGTCACGACTGCAACGATACTAGGTCATACCGAGCAGCGTTTTTCATAACACCGCCAACATGGCCCAAGTCTGGCTGTTATCACATTCAACTTAAAGCTGTGTCTGACGATATTTCTATAAAAACAAGGAGGATGAAGCCACGGCGGTGTAAGCTCTGCAGCTCCCCTTAGGTTTACAAAGCATTTTAGCATCTTTTAGATCATTGTTTTGGCTTCGCGCTCGCTGCATTTTTAAAAATATGTATCAACCTGGTTTCAGCTCCCAAACCCCCACGGTAATCCGCGTCCAGCAGAGAGCTAAAGATAGCATCATTACAGCTAAACATATTGAAGCATTGAGCAGATTTTTCTCAGAAGAAAACGACACCACTGGGGGCACCAAACACCAAACACGCCCTGAGCAGGAAGGCTCATCAAAGATGCAAGAAAAGATGCCAGCACCAGCCGAACAAATCGCCATCGTTTCTTGAATAACGACCATCGACTACGCGAGTAATGAAGTGGCATTAATCTTCAGCACAGCACACTGCACGTGAATCCTTTGCTCAAATGCAGAACTCCAGCACGGCACAGGTTTGCGCACCGGGTGACAAATACCATGCCAAGCCATTACCTGATGATTTTACTTTATATAAAAAAAGTTTGAAAACTACTTCAATAGACAGCCTGCCAAGTTTCATACTCCATCTGCAAAGAGCTTGTCTTCCCCTTCACACTTGGGGCTTCTGCTACTCTCCAGGCTCTTCCTTCCAGGAGTCTTTGATCACATCATTCTCACACTGCTGCTGACAGTTTAGCACCTCAGTGTTGTGGAAGCCTCCGCTGCCCGGCATTGTTTTCTTCCTCTCTGTCATTTTTCCCCCCTCCTGGTCAGAGGCCAAATCACACCTCCAAGCCCCCAAGCAGTCCTTGAATGACTTCTTTCGATCCCAACAAGAGGCTGTTCAGACAAGTCGAAACTTTAAAACATCATCACTTGGAAAGTAAGATTAAGAGTGAAATCAAAACTGTCTGTTTGACTTCCAGGCTTCTGCAATACCCACTTAGCAGTACTAAAAAAAAAAAAGCCCATTCTCATACTGGGGCAAATAAAAGCATTCAAGTGAAGACAGATAAAGTGCAGATAAGCAGCCGGAGGTTGCCGGGCACCACGGAGTGCGAGGGATGAGGAGATTACGGGCAGAACATGAGAGGATGAGTGGATGAACGGAGGATGATCTAAGGATTAACCACATAAACTGAGCAGTCTAATAACACAATCAGCAGGCTAATACAAAGATGGGCAAACATGCTGTAGTCTTACACGCACACACACATAAACACAAACAAGATGCAATGCAGTCGAGCCTTTTTTGTGAGTGCGTGTTTGTGGGCAGAAAACTATAACATCAGCATGTTTAAAGGTGCTAAAAGAGAAAGAACAAGTTGGATTTGCCATCTGAAAGATGATTACTAAGTGTGCATTATTGGGAACAGAAAGGAAAGTGGGTGGAGGGTAATACTGGAGGGTTGTGGAGGCGTGTCTTTTACTACACGACTGCTAATTTATAATCTACACCCCCACCTTGTGGTTTGAAGAGCTACACTGAGCCATATTAATGTTATCTGAATACTGTATAAATGGAAGGAGTGGAATGAGGCCACATTACACAACGTGGATTTTGGCACATGTTTTTCCTCTTACCTGACTATGAGACGGGTATCCGTGATAGCTGAGCGTCAAGGGGTCGTTGTTCTGAAAGAGAGGAGCAGATTTTTCGGAAACATGGTCAGAAATTTGTAAAGAAAAGGGACAAGTCGCTTAAAAACATTTTCATGCTTCATTGTTATTCACTCAGACTTTTTTCCTTCTGTTTTTATGCCCACTAAGCTGTTGCCTCCATGTTTGACTTTACAGCTGCGTGCCGTTTCTGACTCCTAATCAAATTAACTCTGTTCTGTGACACACTCCTGCTATCTCCCAAGTCAGTCTCCTCCAGAGTTTTCCACCCAGTGGATCTTTTGTCTGCTTGCAAAGCCGTGATAACGGGGGCGAGTGAGATCATGCGAGCAGTAGATGAAAGACGGGAGAGAAAGAATGAGTGTCACCGCGGCTCTTAAATCATAAATAGGTCAGGAGTGTCAGCGAGCATGAAGCCCATCGGTGTGAAATGCGATCATGAGCCCTGATGCAATCTCCAACACATCCCTCTCAATGTTCTGGCTGTGCAAAGCAGCAGCGGATACATCAAACATCTGGTGAGTAATTACAGTAACACAAGATGCAGAGGAGACAAAAAAAATAATTTGTTTATGGCCAAATATTAAACATAAATCATTCCTCTACTCCCTAAAATAGTTTGTAACTCACTTTATTCACTCTCATAATACCGTGTTCCAGCTTTTATGCTAATGTATTCCATTAAATGGAGGCGCTTTTCACAGCAATTACAACACACTTTGAAGGGAGAAAAAAAACAGATTTGCCTGTCTCTGACTTCATATCACTAGATTAGAAAACAACCCAGCTTCTCCCTCCTCCCGCTGTCCTTCCCCCTCTGATCTTCCTTTCATCTGGAACCAATGTCCCTCGTCTGCTCTGTACCCAGGGGGAACACTTTGCTCTGTGCGCTTCACAGCTTGAGTTCGCCTGATTAATACTGTAGCCATCTAACTCTGGACCCCATGGGGCCGTTTCACTAAAACTAAGCACAACATTTCCAAATGTAAGAGGCTCGGTTGAGGAGGAGGGAGCAGGAAGCGTCTTCGTGATTGAAAAATGCAGCTTGCGCGAGTCTATCTCAGAGCCAAAAATGTACTTAGTGAACTGGCTTTGGGAGGTAGAAGCTCTAAATAATGAATCACCTCTTAGAGGCTTGAATAACATGAATAAAGTATGAACCTTACTTTACGGTGAGGCCAAACTCTAAACACAAAAAAATAAAAAAACACTGAAGGTATGGGGACGGACGAGATTCATGGAACGGGCACGCTGCGTCACAGTGAGGGCGGCGCTCTCACAGGCAAACATCTGGAAACGTATGAGCAGGAAAATAGGGAAGGACTGGAAATTCAACAGGAAATGGGCAGCAAAGAAAAAAGTGGGGGGGATGGAGGGAGCAAAGACAATGACTCATACACGAGTGGAGTCATGTGCTTAATTTCCTTAAGCAACTGAGCGGGATGAGCGGGGGAGGGGGGCAGTGCACTGGAGTCAGCTCAGGATGAGTGTATCTCAGTGTCACTCAACACCGCGGCCACTTGCACCGAACATGAGAAAATAAAAAACTCTGTACTTCAGGTAGTCAATAAAGGCGCGCTGACTCGTTCCGGGGATGGTGATGGTAATGACTTTTTTTCTGGGGAGGGGGCGGGGAGCTAAAACAACAGAAGAAACTGCAGGGGAAGACCGGGTGAGCAATCACGAGAAAGTAGCAAAATGACCTGAAGTCAACAGATGGCAAAGATGGGGAGGAGGGGGAGGAGAGGGGAGAGAGACCAGCTTGCAGGAGGTGGAGGGGAGACGGGAGCAGTCCTGTAATAATTAAATCTGAAAGGAAGCACAGGATGAGAGGCTCAGTTACCTCCAGGTTTCTCCTTCACTCAGCAGAAGTATCCCACTGTACACATGAACCCTGATACCGCTCTTCAAAAAAAAAAATACAGGTGGGGTAGGTGTGTGTGTGATTGTTTAGCACGTGTGGGATGTCTAATTTGGTCACAAGACTCGTGTCTATTCCTATCGCGCCTTGGGACCGCTGCTGTTCTGATGAGGAGGAGGAAAATAGGAACTACATTTCACTACTCTGAGAGTCATCCTACCTAACTGCAAAGCAGGGCACTGCATACACTCGAGAGGATGTGAATCCACTTCTTCCACAAAGCACTTATGTGCTAAGCCTCCAAACTGTTGGCCAGATGATCTAAAGTTTATTTTCCCCTCGGTATACCTCACACAGTAAACCTACACGTGCTTCTTTGAGGGTACGCTGGTTGGAATCACTGGGGGGGTTTTGGAGGCTGCTTCGACCCTTCTGGCATGAAGATAATCATGAAGCAGCATCAGCTGCTGTATCACATGCTACATAATGAAACCGCAGAACACAATTGTGATTTGGATCCCCCAATTTATTTCAGATCTGATAGAGAGAGAATTAACATTTGTATGTAATTATTTACGGCACCACATAATTGCCCATAATGATTAATCTGCATTATCCCTTCATTCCAGTGAAACCAGAGACCAGTATTGGATTTTTGGAACCAATGTTGATGACATTGTGGCTGCTGGCCCCATTTTTACATTTAATATGTCAGACTTCACTCTAAACGGCAGTTAAACTTCTAAAGTATGGGGCACTGTAAAAGGATGGAGCCTGATGGGAAGACTGAGTAGCAATAACCGGACCCATACATCTCTTTTATGTACTGTATTTAAGAAATGTTACACAAAAACTACAAAAAATCATCACATTTTTCAGCCCTATGCCCAGGGTGTAATGCTCAAATGGTTTCCCAATTAATTTACTAAGTGTACCAATAAAAAAAAATAAAAAATCAAACTAGAGATGCGCGGATCAACCAGCCAGGGAGCGGAATTGGCTGATATCCAGCGCTCCTAGCTCTGACCGGTGACCGACCGGTCAGCCTCACATTTGTCTGATTACAAGCTGGTCCGTTTCATGCACGCACAACACACACACACACACTGCAGGGCAGGGAAAAAGTCAAACGTAAACTCACATTCACATGCCAAAATATCATTAGTGTTGAAGCTCCTTACTGTAAGCAAAGACACAAAGTTTGCCAAAGCAAACCAGAAGAGAAGCCACGGCTTACTTTGGCAAGTCTGAATAGATTTGTTTGTAGCAACAAACCTAATCGGGGTCATAAATCACCCTCACTCAACTGAAAATGGACATTTTAAAGAAGCTAGCAAAGGGAAAGTGGCTAAAGCTAAAGCTATCCAGAACTCAGAGCTAGCCACGAGCTAGCAGCCTCGGTATGAGCAAAAGATCAAAGCAGTTAGGAGGAAAAATATGGAGACAAGAAGAAAAGAGAAAAAGGTCAATTGTTTCATAAATCTGCTTCACCTACTTTTTTTTTTCTCTTTTGGCTAAAGCAGTATTCATTCATTCAGGTAAAGGTAATTCAATCTTCTTCACTTTAACTAACAGGAACAGAGAGAAGACCCAGTAACAATCTGCATGTTGGATTTAAGATGTAATAACTTATTTCATTAAAAAAAATTATGTTTCTAGCTACTCAAAGAATCACAATTTATTATCTAACACTAAACATTTTATTATTGGTGGTTGAAAGTCATTAATATTCATACTATACACTATTATATATAATGATTTATTAATAGGGAAAAAGACCATAATAGCACAGTTTTGTGCAGTTTGCAAATAGAGATTGAAGAGCAATGTTTAAATAAACATCAATATAACACTACACCCCATCCAAAGCCAGAAATCCTGGTAAATCCCCTAACTGCACAATTTGGTAGCTAATAACTTTTTAGTACTACGATTAAAAATCACCCCAAGATATTATATTATGCAAAAACTGGGTAATACAAGACAATAATAGCTCCATTTTGGGAAATTCTCGAACACTGAGACTGATGTCTACCTTTCAAATAAGCATGAACTGATACACTGTTACACACCATCAACACTAGAAATGCTGCAAAGTCTCCAGACTGAAGTTAATATAAGGATAAGTACACTGTAGCAACATCAAATTTCCCCCCAAAGCCAAGTCTCAAAACACCGCCGGTCTTCAACACGAATCAGTCGAGAGATTTCTCCTTGCAATTCATCACAGAAAATCAGGGTTCCAAAAACTAAACAAATATTCTCCACCGGCTGCAAGAGAACATTTTTCTTGCTGACATTTTCATACCATTTCAGTGCAGGGGCTGAGATGAAAGTACAGCAGGGTGATCCACCTACATTAACGTCCTAGTCAAGTCATTTGTCCTCAGAGCTGTCGCCCCAGGCAGGACCTTATTAGGTTAGAGAGAGCCCCGGTTCCTACGCAGAGTGACAACAAAACACGGGCCGCTCAGCAGCAGGCCAGATGGATATTGAAGCCGACAAGCTACTCTCGACAATTCCCAAAATCTGACCAGAGCTGAAGACGCAGGGTGCCGTTATGAATCCTCTGTCACCCTGAAAAATGCAGGACTTCCCCGGTGCTGCACTGGAATGCAATGCAGACTGATTGTGTGTTGTTCGGTTGGCGGGGAGAGCAGCACGCTCATTTAAAATCGGAGAAGGGCAACGGCAGAGGCAGGAAATCAGTAGCTAATTTCTCTGAACTCATACTGCTGAAAGCACTCAGCATCTTCTTCCCTTTTTCTTTTTTTTCTTCCTTTCACTGGCTTTATTTGCCCTCGTTAGCTGAGCATTCAGTCATTCACTGCTTGCTGCACCGATTTATAAACGCACTGCTGCTCTGCTAAAACTTTGCAGCTTTGACTCAACAGAGCACTTCCTCCCACTCCACTGTGATGACATCAGAGCCTAATGAGAAAAACAGCAGTGTCAATAACCAAACGGGAAAGATCCCATTATTAGGCCGCAGCGGTATAAATTACTTTCTCTCTCTACCGCAACCACACCCCTGTTCTGCTGGCTTCACAGGTCAGAGTTCAACTCTTGCCGTGTCGTCAGCAATAAAGACTTTTTAAAAAAATCAAGAATGGAAAAAAAAATAAGGAAGGGAGACAGCGTGCTTTGCAAGAGCCAGGGTACCAGATGCTGTAACATTTTCCAGTATTTACCCTCCTCCTGAAGATTAGCTTTACAGACGGCCTTCTCTGTGATTTTATAGAGGTTTCTTGGAAAGTCAAGCGTCCCGATTTAAGGAACTAAGGAAAACTGAACGTCACCCACCCCAGTTTGCTTCTGAAACCTTAATGGTGTCAGCGGGTTAGAGGAATAAAAATACGTCAGTGTTTTACATACACACACTGGGTCTGGGGGGAGGGGGGTAATTCGTTAAGCATGTGGCACAAAGCACAGTGGAAAAATAGTCTGTACAGATGAGGGTTGTTATTTTTTGTTTACCCTAAAAGGCCAACGGTAAAAATTTAAACCCAGTGGAGATTTTGGAGTAATAATACAAATCTATGGATGCATTTTCTGCCTTTTACTTTTTTTAATGACATTATTTACTGGTTAATTTTTATAGTCTGCAAAATGTCAGAAAGTAAGTTCATGGTCACATTTCATGTCTTCAAACGTTCAGACTGCACATGTTTAATGAGAAAACATAGAAAAGTGGTGAAACTGCATGTATAGAATGTATGAATAATAAACTTAAGGACCACGTATGCTTTTTCTTATTTTCTGTCATATGTACAGTGTCACAGTGGTGTGCTGTCATATTTAACACTCAAAATTTCTAATATTGCAGCTCGGTGCTCTAGTTTCAGGCTTCTTCTTTTTTTTTTTCTCTTTTTTTTTTACTTTACATTTTTTACGTTTGGGTCTGTGTGATGTCAATGACAGGGGATATCTCTAAAACTGCCATCTCAGCTCTTGCTGTGAGAGTACAGAAGCTCCGCCCACTTTTTATTTAAGAGGGGCAGCCAATCCAGTCTAAAAGAAATGTGACCTTAAATGCAGAGGAATTAAACCAGCTCGATTCACAGCATAAAGTGATGAGCTAGACCAGAGGTCGGCAACCTGCGGCTCCGGTGCCGCTCCGCACTATACGGCCGTTAGTGTTTGTGTTAAAAACAAACACAGCTCACGCCTCACAGATGACAGCTTACAGTCCTGCGTAAAGATGAGGTGACTTTGTACAGCCCCGATTTGCAGACGCTGTGCACAGAGGTTCGGGAGCAGAAGTCCCATTGTAAACATATCACGGCAGACCCGACGAACATGCTTTTCAGCATATCTTTATTGACCACTTCTCACACACGGCTGCTGTACGCACACAGCCGGCTGTAGCTTTTCAGCTCACAGCCCGACACATACCAACAACAGCATAGACGGCACAGACGTTAAGGCGGCGAGGCGTGATTGCGGGTTCCGCTCAGGTACGTCCTCCTAGACCACGCCCCGCCACAGACATTAACCAGGTAAAATACATATTTAGGCAGAATTTTGCAAATATCTATTTTTCTTTTTTCAGCAGCATAGTGCTTTTTTTCCTAATTATTTTTTTAAAGCCAGGTCAAGGCTCCAAAAGCCCAAAGGCGATATAAGGGTGGTGGCTGACAACAGTTTTTGTTTGCTGGATCATTTTAGTTCAGCTTTCCTTTTGTTCTATTTCTTTAAGAGTTCAAAATGTGTTAATTACATAAATAAAATGTAATTTTCTCTGTAGCACTTCATGGATTTCATAAGCAACACACCTTAGTTGTTCACAAAAAGCATAAAGGTAAAAAACTATATATACAGTGTTATCTTCATTTTAGATGTCAAAAAGTATTTGCGGCTCCCAGTGTTTTCTTTTGCGTGGAAACCGGGTCCAAATGGCTCTTTGGGTGTTAAAGGTTGCAGACCCCCGAGATAGACAAAGGTCCAAAGAAGGATTATTTTAGGACCCTTAACGTGGAGTTGGAAATGAATCTAACGGCTGCCCTTTATTTGTTTGACTTCATCAGACCTGCAATGACAGCATTAGAAGAGAAATTCACTTGCTATATAAAAATATAGGGCTGGAAGATGTTTTTAATAACTCGCTAGTGCACTAATAGGAGCTATACACAATGGACTACAGTATATAAGCTTCATCTGGTTTTCACCAATATCTGTGTGACGGCATCCCATAAAATCCAGGGCCTTAAATAAGGATCTCAGGGATCAGTGCGGTTATAATGCCCCCTCCAGTTTGAGATGTGATCCCATTAGCTGGAAACAAAGCCTCTTTGCTGCCAGTGATAGGGCAAATCTGTTCCTGCACCATCTAGGGAAGGAGGGGGTTCTCCTACTCTAATTTCCGGACTGTCCAGCCAGTTCACGTTCAATACATTTTAGGGGCTGAAGCTATTGATCCGTGCTCTTCTCTCCCACTCTCTCTCACACACACACACACTCTCTTCCCTGCACATCTGTTTTTAAGTGCATTACATTTCTAGCCGTGTCTGTCAGCACTCCCTCGACTGACAGCAGGACGACGTTAAAGCCAGCCATTTAGTTTTCCAAACTGCAGCAAACAAGCCACTTCACCTCCATTACTGGAGCTTTCAGCGATGGAGAAATAGCTTTCTGTCTTCCACTGGAGTACTTCACCCTACATAATCCACTTTAATGTTATCCAGAGCATCTTCGGGTCTTCATGTGACGCTCTATTAATAACAATATTTGACCATTTTGGGATCAATGAGGGAAAGGCGGAAAAAAACAACAACAACAAACTGATTATGCTGACTGCCAGTCCACTTTAGCAGTGGTGCTCATAAAAGCAGGGGTGTTAGGATCCAGGCAATTGGACTGATGAGGTTTAGGCTCCTTGGTAAAATGAATATTGTTTACTCTAGATAGCCTGCAGTCTGCCCCCCCCCAAAAAAAAGGTCAAACAGTCAGATATGGACACTGACTCGTTGTAAAGCAAATGTTGTACACACTTATGCCACATAGGAATGTTTTCTTTCGTGTTTGGTGTAGTAAAATGCTGGATGTGTTTACATTCTTCACCCTCAGCCAGGGCTGTCTGGGTTTTCATAGACCAGAAGATGTTCTTTGGACAGGTTTTAGAATAACTAACCAGTTAACTATGAACCAGGCAAATATAAACCGGATTACTGCTATTCCCCTTTAAATTAACTGTCTGAGCTTCACCGTAGCATCTATAACAGTCCAGTTAACGCAGTGAGTTACTTTGTTACTAATCCAGCTCCATCTTCAAACAGCATGTAGAGTCATCTACAGCTGTGGTGGCATTTCCCGCACAGCTGGTAATGGGCTGAGCAGTCACAGGCCTGTGTGCTGGGCCCTCCGCTACAGCTCTAAACTATCCGCAACTATCACGCTGATCACGCATCTGAAACACCGGTAAATCGTGAGATTACATTAACAGCATAGGCCAAATTATTAAGAGAAACCTGGCCTTGCACCACGATTGCGTTTAGCCGTCTTTGCCTTATTGTATTAGGAAAAAGAAAAAAAAACAAAAAAACAAAAAACAATCCTCTCTGTACCTGACCAACCTCGCCCATTCCTCCTGTGCCGTCGATGCGGGGACGCTTGCACTCAGCGCCGGTCGAGTCCACCAGAGCCGCCGCTGTCTGTCCGTCGGGCTCCGGGTCTCCTCGCTTCATGCCGCGAACAGCTGCAGGAGCGCCACCGGGGTTGGGATGCACCCCGGCCATGGGGTCCAGCTCTCTATCCCGGTCTATGAGACCCCGGGATACAGGCAGCATGATGGATGCAACGTCGGTCGACATTAACATTTAAAAATCTTTTGTTCCCTCTCTTCAGCTAAACGGGGCTAAAATAACCTAATCTAGTGCACCTCTGTGCTTAAATCGGCGGAGGGATTGAAACAGTCTTTTAATAATCCAAGTAGCTTTCACTGTATTTTGGGCCTTTTGTATGATTCCCCCCCAGTGAGTTGATGTATCTGGAAATGTTTTGGCTGCCTGGCTTAAAAAATGTCACTTGAAAAAAAAAATATATATATAAAAGGAAATCTCACACAAGCACCGTTTTCCCTGTTATTTCATAACAGAGTCCCCTGCAATGCGAGCAGCTCTGTCGGGCTAATTTGCAGCTGTGTAGCCCCTGTCTGCTGACCGTGTATGTATTTACTGCGGGGATGCCTAAGAGGCCTACGTTATTTCAGATCATAACAAGCCAATTAAACAAACACCGATCAAAACAATGGCTCCTGAGCTTAGCCTACTGCCTAGTTTCCATTTGCTCCCCCCTCTCTTTCTCTCTCTCTTTTTTAACCCCACTCCAGGAGAGCCGTGTGTTTTTTAAGAGCACAACATCAATACCCTACCGCAACCTCAAGATGAAAAAAACCCTCAACATGTCTTCCCCGTCGCCCTTTTTCCTCCCTGTTAGCCACAGACTTTTACCACAGAGCAGAGGTTCACTGAAAGTCAATCCTCCTCAGGAGCTCTCTCTTCCCATGTTAGTCCGCAAGTCTGCGCTTAAAGAAAAGACGGCTTCTTCCCTCCCCCCAAAAAAACAAAAACAATAAAGCCAACCAACCAACCGAAGGACGGACAGGCGGACGGACGGACGCCGGGGCTGCAGCGTTTCCTTCTCCCTCTCTTTCTCTCGCTTATTATTTTCTTTCCGCTCTCCGCTCTCCCGGTGTGTTCATGTAGCGTGTGTGTTACAGAAAGGAAACTGTCCTCCCTCCCTCCCTCCTTTCCTCCCTCCTCCTACTCTCTTGGTGTAGTCATTCCCCTCCTCCTATCTTCCGCTCTTGCCTTTGAACGCAGAGCCAGGCAGCCATGCAGCCTACAAAATACACGCAGTGTGCCGCAGTGCTTCCATACATTTCACCGAGGGGGAGGTGTGTGTGTGTGAGAGAGAGAGAGAGAAGGGGCGACACGCACTACAATCCAACCCCTCTCCCCCCAAAAATAAAACTGTAACTAAGCTGCTTTTACTATTCACATTTTTGTTTGTGCGCAGTTCTTCAAAATAAAAGTTTTTGCTCTTTAATGTTGGCCACATTACATGGTTGAATATTGAAAGGGGGTGGGCTGCTCGGGAAGATTTCATGCCTAACTCATTACACAACCGATACGCAGGCCAAGGTCTTCACACAAGCCCAGCTGTGAGTCATGCAGCATGGAGTACCTTATGTTCCTCTGGCATTTTTATTGCTTGGATGACACCCAGTGGTCAAAGGGTACCATGGGAAAGGAGCACTTCAAAGGGGAACTGTTGTAGCGATTTAAAATACAAACAAGAGCAGACTTGCAGAGGTTTATTACATGTGTTGGTTCAGCACAATCTCGAGTCGCTTGACCTGAATAGTCCCAGTTTAATTTATTTTGGAAAAAAAACTTTTGCAGGTGCCATGACTCCTCCCACTCTACCTTGCAAACATTCTCGTTTCCCCTCCCCAACTCTGATAACTGGATATTTCGGGATATACACTTATAATCACAGATGATTGAGTGACTTCTGCACAATAAAGTCTCCCTTGCACATTACTGCAATGCACAGGTTTAGCATTTTAATCATTAAGAATATGCAACTGTTGTTTTTGATGTCATGCTTTAAAGCCTTTATGCCACACAGACAGCTGCAGCCTTACATTTATCATTTTCACATGTGGATTCTCAGAGTTACAGTTTCTATGCACAAATAATAAAATTCAAGCTTAATAGTAAAGTAGATAACTGCCCAAGGACACCAAGAGCCAGGGGTTTTACTGTGAATTGCAACAAATTGAGCCTAAAAGGGCCCTTTAGGTGATTTGTGCCTTATTAAATAAACTTGAAGCTCAGTCCTTATTAGTGGGGCGACAGTGGAGCATCTGTGGCTGTGGTGGTAATGATGGTTCTATCCACAGCTCCTCTAGTCTGCATGTCAGTGTATACCTGAGCAGGTTACTGAACCAAGCTGGCCCTAATGCATCCATCGGCACATGTGTGAATGCTAGACAAAGTGCTTAGACCAGGCATGGCAAACTCATGTTACATTGCAGGCTAATCTTATGTGGGTCAGACCAGTGAAACACCCCTTTCTTTGAGTGTACAGAAACTAAAATTTACTTTCTTGGAGATTGTATAAGGAAAATAATTTAAATTAACAGGATGTCTCAGTTTTTCCTACATGATAAAGAAATGCAGCTGGAGTAGAAGAAGAGTTCTGCTGACAGATTTCTAAGCTTAAAATTGTATGTAAATGTACTAAACTCCAGAAATGATCAGGGTGTAGGGAAGGTCTACATCAATAGAAAACAAAAAACAAAACAAAAAAAAAAAAAACCTGTAATACTTTGTCCAAAGTAGTCCAATTTCTGGCCATTGGGTCTCATGTGTGACACCTCTTTCTGGGGAAGGGGGGGGGGGGGGGGTGTGGTGTGGTGGTGTACTAAGTACTCAAATTGAGTTGGGAAGTGCTATCAGAAGGTTCTCCCTGGCATACGTGGTGGCTTTTTTGTAAAATGTGTTCAGTCACAGTTGTATTACTACTTGAAGCTGCATAATAATCATGAATAACATTCACACTGTGTAATGAGGTCAAGCATGTCATTTCTGTCCACGCTGAGGTTTCTACCTCATTCTTCATGCATAGCCTCCAGTCATCCTGCTCTAAACATGCACATAAAACCTACAGTATGTTCCACATAAACTTTAACAAAGCAAGGCAGACCCATGTGGGCTCCGTCTACTCCACAATGATAGCATGTCCACACAAAGTTGCCTCCCACGTTTTTTTGATGTACTGCCACTTCCTACTGTAAAAGCTAATGGCTGTCAGTTTAAAATAAATTTAAAACAAAAAAAAAAAAAATACCCACACATGCTACTTGAGAGCTTTTATTGGCAGTTAAGAATGATGGCTGAGGCCTGAAAAGGAAAAAAGGGCAAAGAAATGGTTAAAAAATTAACTTTGAAGTATATAAACAAGACGTAAACACAGCTGTTTTACTAGTCAGACAATCATCTTGGCTAATTTCATGCATTTACTGTGGTGTAACTGAAAAAACAGGAAATGGCTCCGTCTGAATTAATAATTCAAAACTGTCCTCATTACTAAAACATTGTCCTGCTGTCATATGGAACTGTAGCTACTACTGGCTCTCTGGCTGTTTTCGGAGAGTAGGCGGCTTGTGAAGGAGTTCATTCATGGCCGTTTTGTTGCGATCCACCCGAGTTCACAAAAGTGTGCTGGGTGATTTGAGGACAGAGCGCCAATTATCCTCACCGTCACTGGCCAAAGCATCCTTCAACACAAGGACCATCACGTGGCGAGCAGATTTCAGTCGAACACATGAAGTAGATCTGAGAGGGAAGAAAAGTAGAGCAGGATTTAATGTTGTGTCCAGTCTCCAGAGTGTGCAGCGTAATATTACAAACAGCTGCTGGCAATTGAGATGGGGCCAGAATTTGCAGCTTACAAAATGGCTCCTCCACATCTCATTAGGAATGCTGCCTAAGAGATTTAGAGATATAGCCACAAATCGTCTTCAGACAACACGTTTCCACTAGATGAAAAGATAACTCGTTTGAACTGGCACTAATAGAGAGTCTACAAGCACACATTTGTTCACATTTTAACCAAATTAAGACAGGAAGCCTGGATACTGTACTGTGTAAGAGTCCTGAGTCACCCCTCATGTCTTCACAGTTTCCTTGCAAGGAATCACAATTGTAATTTTTAACATGGTGTTAAAACAGTTTATACCCAATAAGTGTATCCAGAATAATTGTTGTACATGTATACATGTCAACTGTTATGTCACAGGACATTATGAAATCATGTTTATCATTTCAAGTTTGATTTTAACATGCAGGTCTGTGTCTCTGTAAGCTTTGAGCTAACAGAAAGGTGTATTTTTGCAAAGCCATGGCATCAAAAAAAAGTCATATCCCAATTTAACAAACAATCCTAGGCCTACAGAATTATTTACATGAATATAGAGTAGCCCAAAACCATTATATGCAGAACTCAAGAGGCTGTGTTCCTGCTTACCTCTTCATCCAGATCCTTAAACTCACCATCAGGAAGGAACTGGAAGGTTGTGATGGTGAAGCGGCGGGTCTGAGCATCAGGAGAAAGTGGCTGAGGATGAGATAGAACAGCCTGTGGCGGGGCTGGGTCCAAAGGGTTGGGACATCTGTGGAATAGTGGAGAGCCAATGTGATAACAC